CCTGGTTCCTGGTCTCTAGGAGGGACCTCCCTGCCCTCAGGGCTGTCAGGTTTGGAGAGGCTCCTGACTGTAATAACACTGTTGCTTTTACAGCCACTCTGAGAAACCCAAACTGTCAGATAAGCACCTTTCAGCCCTCCCAGCATCTCACTAAGGACCTTTGAATTTTCCCCTATGGAGGCCACATTTGGAAGATTTATCATCGCTTAAAGATGGCTTTGGGGCCAGGCGTGGTGGCTCACGCCAGTAATCCTAGCACTCTGGGAGGCCAAGGCGGGAGGATCACTCGAGGTCAGGGGTTTGAAACCAACCTGAGCAATAGTGAGACCCCATCTCTACTATAATAAATAGAAAGAAATTAATTGGCCAACTAAAAATATATAGAAAAAATTAGTCTGGCGTGGTGGCACATGCCTGTAGTTCCAGCTACTTGGGAGGCTGAGGCAGTAGGATTGCTTGAGCCCAGGAGTTTGAGGTTGCTGAGCTAGGCTGATGCTACAGCACTATAGCCCAGGCAACAGAGTGAGACTCTGTCTCAAAAAAAGAGATGGATTTGGAATGTTAATTAATTTCCCTGGGTCTTGCCAATCAGAGCTCCACTTTCCCTGGCCTTGGTCTTTAAGCAGTGGGAGGCAACTGGTATTTCCTGGCCCCACTCAGCGATATTATTGCAGCCCAGAGCAGAGATCTTGAGCCAATGTCAGGCTTTTGCAATACTGAGAGTTACTCTTGCTCCCTCGTGTCCATCACTGCACTCCTAAGGGTGTTCCTTCCACTCACCATCAGACCAGGATCAAATGTCCCATCACCCAGCTTGGAGCCGGAAAGGACATTATCAGCCCCAGCCCCACACCCTGGCACGGTGCTGGGTGGCTGTGCCCACCGGCCTCCTGGGAAGTGCTTCCCGACAGCGCCAGGGCTGCAGGCCTCTTGCAGCTCAGGTCCTGAAGGTTCCACATTCCCTAGCCCCGATGAGTGATAATGAACATGAGCTGCAAACTTTCCAGGATCTCCTGAACGGAGAGGGGAAATGGCGGCTCTTTCACCTCCACCTTCCAAATCTCATGCAAGATGTCTCTTGTGGCTCATGTGAACTCGGAACAATGCAGGGAAGGCATTCTGGAAACAATAGCTCCAGTTTAGCTAAATTGTAACAATACAAATGCATCAAAGTGGCTGACGCCTACACATGTCAACAAGGAGGCCCCAGTGGTGGATGTATATTAAAATACGCACATATTTGAGGTATACAATTTGATGAGCTTTGACATGCATTCACTCGTGAACTTCCCTGAATTTCCTGAAGGGACTTTCCAGAGAATTTAAGAAGTTTCCAGAACTCTAGGGTGTGTTTCCAGGGCTTGTGAAATGGGAAGATGGTGCCTCCCAGGGGAGTTGTGTGTCCCTATTGGGGTCAAAACCTTCTGAATCCCCACCCTGTGCCATTTTCAAGGCCAGCATCCTCCAGGCAACCCAAACCCTGTGGAGGGAGCAACCTGAGTCACCGGGATTCCTGAACCTCCACTGCCCCCCTCCCCCCACCGAAGGAAGGTGATGGCAGGGAACACCACCAGTCTCAGGATGGGTACATGCATGGAGCAAGGAGAGGGGAAGGGGTTCAGAACAGCATTTCTTTTTTTCTTTCTTTTTCTATTATGAAATATTTCAAACTTCACAAATGTACAGAGAAGGGTACAATAAACCCCCAGGTCCTAATCATCCAGCTGCTCTTAGTTTATCCATCTTCTCAATTAATTTGAGATCAACCACAAATGTCATTTCATTGATATTTTCCAAAGAGACAGAAATTTTAGTATGTGTCTCTACTCTTAAGACAAATTCACCATAACATTATCAGACCTAAAAAGTAATTAACGATAATTGGTTAATATAATTAACAAAATGTTAGTGTTTTCAATTTGGTGGTGTCATGAACTTTTTTTGTACAGTTAAGTTTATTCAACTCATGAAGCAAACAAAGGTTGACACATTGCATTTCATTGATGTTTCTTTTTTTTTTTTTTTTTTTGAGACAGAGTCTCGCTTTGTTGCCCAGGCTAGAGTGAGTGCCATGGCATCAGCCTAGCTCACCAGCAACCTCAAACTCCTGGGCTCAAGCAATCCTTCTGCCTCAGCCTCCAAGTAGCTGGACTCAGCATCCGCGCCACCATGCCTGGCTAATTCTATATATATTAGTTGGCAATTAATTCTTTCTATCTATAGTAGCAGACGGGTCTCTCCTCTTGCTCAGGCTGGTTTGAACTCCTGACCCGAGCAATCCGCCCGCCTCGGCCTCCCAGAGAGCTAGGATTACAGGCGTGAGCCACCGTGCCCGGCCGATGTTTCTTTTTTTTAATGGCTTTTTTTTTTTTTTTTTTTTTGAGAGAGGCTAGAGTGCCGTGGCATCAGCCTAGGTCACAGCAACCTCAATCTTCTGGGCTGGTCTCAAACTCCTGACCTCAAGTGATCCTCCTGCCTCAGCCTCCCAGAGTGCTGGGATTTAGGCATGAGCCACTGTGCCCGGCCTTGTTGATATTTTTTAGTTTTTGGATCACCCCTCCCTCTCTACTCCTTTCACTTACAATACATTTGGTAAATAATCAGGGTCATTTGTCTGGTAGAGTTTTCAACCTTCAGGATTTTGCTGATTGTAACCCAGTTGAGTCGTTTTGCATGTTCCTTCACGAAGTGCTTCTCAAAAGAGGGATTGTGATAACTTTTTTTTTTTTTTTTTAAACAGGTTTTGGCCGGGTGCGGTGGCTCACGCCTGTAATCCTAGCACTCTGGGAGGCCGAGGCGGGTGGATTGCTTGAGGTCAGGAGTTTGAAACCAGGCTGAGCAAGAGCGAGACCCCATCTCTACTATAGATAGAAATAAATTAATTGGCCAACTAACATATATATAGAAAAAATTAGCCGGGCATGGTGGCGCATGCCTGTAGTCCCAGCTACTGGGGAGGCTGAGGCAGCAGGATTGCTTGGGCCCAGGAGATTGAGGTTGCTGTGAGCTAGGCTGACGCCACGGCACTCACTCTAGCCTGGGCAACAAAGCGAGACTCTGTCTCAAAACAAAACAAAACAAAAAACCCAGCTTTTATTAAGGTCTAATTGATATAGAAAAAACCTTCATATACTTGAGGTATACAATTTGCTGCGCTTTGACAAGTATTCACCTGTGAGACCACCACCACAGTCGGGGTGGTAGTGGGAAGACAGGTTCTCTCACTCATCATGGGTAGGAGTGTAAACTGTGCAAGCTCTATGGAGAGAAATTTGGCATCTCTTCCCATGACCAGCACAAACACCCTTTGACTCAGCAATGCCACTATTCCACTTGTCACACTTGTGGTATGAGATGAATCCTAAGGTTGTATGTTGCAGCGTTGTCTGAAATAGCAAAGGATCCGATACTCGGCTATGGTAAAACAGTCATATAACATGAAGTACCAGGCATGTTCTCTGTGCTTTACAAATAATAATTCACTTAATCCTCACAATATGCAGATGAGGCAGGTCCTATGATTAGGCGTACTTTAAAGATGGGGAAACTGGGGCCCAGAGAGATTAAGTGGCTTGTCCAAGATCACACAGCCAGTCACAGTAGCACTGGCACCTAGGCAGTCTTTCTACACAGCCTGTGCACTTTCCTGCTGTGTTGCAATAGTCCTGTTGTAACTGGGCCATTGTCACAACAGAATGTCATGTAGCTATAAAAAAGAATGAAGAGGTTCTTTATGGACTGACATAAAATGGTTTCCAAGGTATAATGTAAAGCAAAGTATAAACCACCAGTGTAAAGTGGAATAAAAAAACGTGTGTTTATATATGTGTATATGTGCCCACTTGTGTGTAGGCATGTGTCATGTTTACCTATGTAGATGTGCTTCGTACATGTATCTGCATGTGCACACATGTGTTGTTATTTGTACATGTTCATGTATGTTTGTGGTTGTTTTTTGATTTTGCTTTTCACCCCAACTAGTATTTATCAGCCATGGCTCTGAATGCTTGTTATGCCCCCAAATTACCCCTCACAAAGTTAAAATTTGATTTGCTTGTGCTTCTTCTCCCTCTTTAGGGAGATTTAGCAAACAGATACAACAGGGAACTGTGTGCCTAAGGACAAAGATGAGGAATTAGCTAGAGTCTGGCATTAACTGCAAGAGAGTTGGTAGAACTAGAGAATCTTCTAGAAAGAACTTGATTGGCATATATCATGGCCAAATTTCCCAATCTTTTGGGAGGGTGACAAGAGTCTGCATTAAAAGTCTTTCCTCCCACTCCCCCAGCGCAGTTTACTGTGGGTCAATTCAACCTCAGTGAAGCTGCTTTGAAGAATAATGTCTCCCCCTTACCCTCCTCACCTTTTACTTTGCTCTATACACCTCCTGTATCATTTGAGTATTTTCCAATAAGATAGATTTTATGTATTCTTGAGCAGTAAGTAAATAAATAGGCATGAGAACTTTCCAAAAAATCTCCCCTACCAGTAGTCACAGATTCATGATATCTTACTGAGCCCTAGCTCTCTCCCAAGTCCCCTGTCCACTGAAGTCATTATGTAAGCTGCAGAGACGGGAAAAGACGGTGTAGAGCAGGCAAGGAACAGACAGGGCATAGGGAGATGGGGCCCATTACAATCAGATAATGTGGAGTCTGATTTTTCTCATTCTGACATACCTGCTGGGCAAATATTAGGACCAGAAACAGCAGACTTTGGCTTTAAAATTGGGCTAGGAGTGCTCTGGAGGTGGTTAATACTAGTCACTTGCCCAGCTAACAAGAGAAGTTTGCATATTATGATGAAAGGAAAATCAGACTTTAGGTCAAAATATCTAGTTCTTGTCTTGGCTCTGCCCATAGCTATGTAACTGTGAGAAACTTACTAAAGTTTTCTGGATTTCAGATGCTCTTTCTGGAAAATGTATGGGTTGGAGAAGTCGAATTTTAAGAGCCCTTGCAGCACTAAAATTCTACTTCTAGTCTTGAAGCATACACAAATCATAGCAGAAATTTTATTAAAAATGTCAAGTACATCCACAGCATCTTTCTTTGCTCTCCCTCAAATTCCCACCCACTCCTCGACTTGTTGATGACCGCAGTCAGTCACCAAGCTCCCAGTGAAAAAAGGTGTCCTGAGACCTAGGACCAGAAGCACATTCTCAGAAAAAATGGACAAACGATTGCAGCAGCAATGGCAGCAGTAGCTGTAAACTCCAAACTGACATGGGAAGATACGTGGCTCCATTTTGAGCCTTTCTGGGTTCAGTAAGAAGCTTCTTCGGGCAGATTTCCTTCACTGACATGGGTCCTACTACTAAGACACCGGCCATCAGCCTGCAGCCTCTCATGGCTGTACAGCCTTTGACTTCCAGAGATGACTCAATGCCACCTATGGAACAAGGAAGAACAGGGAGACACAGATGTTTTAGGAACTCAGAGGGGAATCCAATCCAGATACTCATCCCTGGAGCCCTGAACGTAGAACCTCTTGGTATCTACCAAGATGTCTGGTTTTCCAGCTTCTGAAACCATCAGATGTTCATTTCGATTTACCTCCAGTAATCTCAAGTTTTCCTTCATAGCATTGTGTTGTACCGATGGGACAGGGAAGAGAAGGAGCACTGGAACAGTTCCCCAAAGACACGCAGGTTGGGCAATGGAGGGTTGCTGGCTTAGCGAAAACTGGAGGGGAAAGAAAGAGACAGTTAAGGGCATGTCCTGCCTCCAGAGATGTTCCTCCTTGCTGCTTTGTCTTCCTCAAGTCTTTCCGGCTGGTGCTACTCTAATCAATCAAAGCCAATTACTGCAGCCTCTCCGTACTTCCTCAGCTGACTATCTTTGCTGTCAGATCCCATCAGCATGACTGCCAAACTCTGTGCTCAGGTGTGGGGCTACAGAGATGAAAATGGCATGGTTTCTGCCATCTAGCATCATTGCCTAGAAGGAGAAAGTCACATAAGTAATAAACTACAATACCAACTCAGTAGTTTCTGTGCTCAGGGTATAATGGCAAAGGAATGGAGGAGTGCCATTTGCTAAGTATTTTTGAAGAGCTGATTCTGAGTTGAGATTGAGGGTGCATAGGGATTAGCTATGTGAAAATGGGAGTTGCAGGCAGGTCACAAAGGAAACAGCAAGGACTAAGGCCAGGAGGTGTGAGCCAGCTTGGTGGATGCAGGGAATTGTGAGACACTGAAGGGCCTGATCTTCAGCTGGTAGGCACAGTAGGGCTGAACTGTTTCATTTTTATGGCCAGAATTCATTTTGATTGGCTAGTGCTATCTCCATTGTTAAGTATTTTTAATATTAGCCCCAGCTAGAACGTAATAAATGAGAGAAGGAAGGAGGGAAATTAAGCTGAAAAGACAGGCAGGGCCAGGTTACTATAGGTCTTGAGTCCAAACTGGGGCATTGGGCTGTTGTCATGTAGTTATGGGGAACTGATACCTGTTATATTGATAATATCACCACCCTGCTCAGAAACCTGCACTGACATCTTCCTGCTTAATAAACACAAAACCCAGTTTACACTCCAGCCTTCACTGATTTTCCTCTACTCTGTTTGGACCCCAAGGAACAATTCAGAAAAACGAAGACAATCATTTGAACTGTGAGGTCCTTTTGTGTAGAGCCCACTTGGGCTAAGGCAAGTAAGAAACACAAAGAGGGAAGATTTACAGTGTCTTTATGGAGTTTTTCTTAGCACTGATCTCCTCCACTTCCAGGGTACCTGAGGGTCTTCCTTCATTCCAGAACTGATATAAGCTGTCTTTGTCGTTACATAAGTAATCATCACAGTAGTTAGTGTAGGAGAGTGCAACCAGGCCAGGGGATGTGGTGTGCTGGATAAACGTTACCAACTCCAACTCTCCAGGCACGCAGCCCCTGGAGGCCAAAACAGCTGTCTTATTCCCTGTTAGGAGACAGGAGGGAGGGAAAGTGGATGGTGAGCCCAACGATTGGCCTTGACATGGACATAATCACCCTCCCTCCCACCCAACCCAACTGGCCCATTCTCATTTTACCTGCTTTAATCATCAGTGTGGTTTCCTGGCAAACTCTTCCATTGTCACAAGTTTCAACTTTCTCTGTGGTCCAGTTAAATGCATCGGCTGCCTCCTCTGCTATAGTCACGGACCCATCCTTGTAACAATACAACTGGTTGGCCGCTGGGGAGGAAACGAGATAAAGATAAGCACTTGCCCTACTGTGTGGGCTAATGTGACTCCGTTTTCATCACAAATCCCTCCTCTGTGACCCGGCTGCTCTTCCGTCAAGTCCCCGATACGTACAGGCCAAGGAGGAAGCTCCTAGGAGAAAGAGGAACAGCAAACGTTGGCTATGGTCTGTTCCCATGGCTTCTCTGAGAGGTCGGGAAGAGCTGAGCAGGATCTGTGATTTGATGGAGAAAAGGCAACTTTTTAACCAGGTGGAGTGAGATTAAACCTAGGTTCTGGCAAGTACTGACTTGAGGGTGGAGCTTACGGGTCTACGAGGCTATGGTCTCTGAAGTCAGCCTGCCCCCAACTAGCTTGTGAGTTTGAGAAAGTTAGCAAGCTTGTTGTGCCTCGCTTTCCACAGTTGTTAACTCCCAGCCCGCCGGCTGTTCCCTCAGACATGGAATTCGGTGACCCAGCCCCCTCCAACTTCAGGATCAGGAGTCTGGGCCCAAAGGCGCCTTCTCCCTCAGACTCAGCTCAGGTTCAAACCTACTCTCTCAGGGCCTCGGTATCTCGGCCCCCAGCCCCCGGGTTCACCGGCACCCGGGAGTCTGAGAACCCGTCCCCCTCTTGCCCAGGGATCCCGGAGTTTGGGTTCCAGCCCCCTTTCCCCGCAGGACGCACGGTTCTGGGCCCCCAGCCCGCTCCCTCTCAGGCGCGGGAGCCCGCGCCCCCAGCCCTGGTTCCCTCAGACTCAGGAGTCCGTGCCCTCGGCCTCCTCTTTCCTCAGGACTCAGGAATCTGGGTCCCCAGCCTCCTTTTTCTCTTTAAGGGGGCAAAATTCCTGCCGGCTTCCAGATGACCTCAATCGAATCTTAACCGCCGCCAAGGTGTGGCCTGAAGCGTTCTCTCGCCCAGCCAGCGTTCTCTCACAGCTCCCAGAGGCACGGAAGGCGGGGCCAGCTTCGGCCAGACAGGCAACTCGAAGCCCCATTGGTCGACTCAAAAGCATAGGATGAGCTCATTGGATGAGCCTGAGGAACGCAGCACCTCATTGGCGGCAGAGAAGCCAATTGCTGGCAGCCTTGGAAGGCGCACATGCGCAGAAGGTGAGTGGCGGGAAAACTGAAAGAACCCGTGTCTTTGTAGCCCGGGGCATGGGCTGGGCATCCCCAGATGACCTCACTTCACCCTTTTGTGTCTTTGCGTTGTGTTGTCTCTGCTTCTACAGTCACACTAGGAGGTCAAACCTTTGGCTTTCACTCACTGAACTTATCTCCCTGTACCCAAATGGCCTCTCATGTACCCAGCCTGGCCCTTGCCCCAGCCCTGGCTGCTGGGAGTCCCCTTGGCCTCCTCACTTGTCACGTGCAGTGGCCCCTTGCTCCGCCCTGGCATCAACCTCTGATCGTATCAGGGCATCAAATTCTGATTGTATCATAGCATCAACCTCTGATTGTATCATGGCGTCACCCTCTGATCGTATCATGGCATCAACCTCCTCCGCCATCTGCTGGAGGGCCGAATTGAGGAATGCCTGCTTTGTGTTACTTCTGAGTTTGTCCTGTAAAAGCCTCCCGCTTGCATTCCCTAAGTGGAGCTCCTGAACCTCTTCTGGCTTGAAGCTGCCTGATTTCATGAATTGTTGTTTGCTCAAATAAACTCTTTAAAATTTTGGCCGGGGGCGGGGCGACCAGAGGCCTGTAGACGGCGCGGCCACGGGGAGGCAGGAGCGGCCCTGCAGTCCAGATTTAGACTGGAGTCCCAACAGTGGTGAAGTAATAAGAATTGAGCTTTTGTTGTCTGTTCATTCATGCCAGGAATATAAAGCCTAAAATGTTATATGCGCCATGGCTATGACTAATGTCAGATTGCTTGCTGGTATTTTAAGAAAGCCAGATGCCTGGATTGGACTCTGGGGTGTGCTCCGACGGACACCTTCTTCACATAAACCCTGTACTTCTTGAAATCAATACTTGTATTTTTCAAGTACTGAGTTAAATGCATCAAATTATAAAACATTTTTCCGTAATATTTTCTCACTGAGACTGCCAGGACTTTTAATATCTCCAGAATATGTTTTTTCCATTTTCCGTAAGACTCAAAGGTAATATAAGCTCTAAAAAAATCCACTAAAACGTCTCCACAAAAAGTCGAAGATGAAGAGGACTCTGATGCAAGGTAATATAAGCTCTAAAAAAATCCACTAAAACGTCTCCACAAAAAGTCGAAGATGAAGAGGACTCTGATGCAGAGGAGGATGACAATGAAATGAGTGAGATGGAAGAGGAGCTTGAGGATGACCCTAGTGTGGTCAAAGAGTATAAAGACTTGGAAAAAGGAGTGCCATCTTTTCGGTATGATGTTATCCTGAAGACGGGCCTAGATGTTGGGAGAAACAAAGTGGAAGAAGCATTCTACAAAGGTGAACTGAGGCTGAATGGGGAAAAATTATGGAAGAAAAGCAGAACGGTGAAAATGGGAGATACATTGGATCTTCTCATTGGAGACAGTAAAGAAGCAGAAGCAGAGACAGTGATGCAGATTCTCCTGAAAAAAGTGTTTGAAGAGAAGACTCAAAGTGAAAAATACAGAGTGGTGTTACGACGGTGGAAGAATTTAAAGTTGCCTAAGAAGAGTGTGTCTAAATAAGTGGATTGCTTTTTAGTGATAAAGCTGCTTTCTAGTGGCGGTGGTGGGGGCAACTTAAAAAGAGGACATTTTTATTAAAATAAAGTTCTCTTACCATTTGTGGAATCTGCTGAGCCATTTTGTGGAAATTGGGATCTATGTCTTGGAGACACTTCACTTGGCCTGGGTTTCCCGCTGGGCTTGATTTGTGCTCCTTTGGACACATTGAGGACATCAGCGTAAGGGCCTTTTGCCCAGTGAGATGTGTGCTGAACTAAGCCCAGAGAGGGTTTAATGACTTGCCTGCTGTTTCCCACATAAACTACCTCAGGATTCATTGTAAAATAAACCAGCCTTGTTGTTTCTTTAAAAAAAAATTATTGTGCCTCAGTTTACTTTTTAACAGTGTTCAGGCTGTGCTGAGGCAAAAACACTAGTGGAGAAGGGAGTGTGGAGCTGAGACATGGGATAGGGACCTCAGGCAGACCATCTCCCCACACGGTGACAGCCAGGAGGACATCGCCACTCCCATCGGAGGGAACCAGGCCCGTCCCCTCCCCTGCACAAAAGCTTGCCACCGTCTGTGCCTGGGGCAGTTGCCACACAAGAGAATGCTTACTTTCCTCCACACCCACAATGGGAAATCTACTAAGAGCGAAGTTACGTAGAGAAGGACAGGCCTGACCTGGAACCACAGAGTCACGCACTGAAAGCCTTACAGGACTCACCAGCCTGCACTGCAAGGGGTTCCGGGGCATGTGTGTAAATAGATTTTGTTCCAATTATCCACTGATTGCCTCTTAGTTCCAAATCCACCCTTCGGCACCCTGCTTGTGATACCTGAGTTGGGTCTCATCTCACAAGCTGGTCTCCTTGTCTCCCTGGTGTAATGCTAGACTTTGCCGGTAGAGGGTGCTAGAGGGACACTGCAGGAGGAAGAGCCTCTTCCAGCCATAGGGGTAGAAGTTGCTCCTTGTATCTGTCATTCCCATTTTCTGGAGAGTTCTCTTTACCCTTCAGTACCAATACCCTCTTAACCCCAATCCCCTGTTCCTAGTTAAGGATCCTTTATATTAAACTTTTCCTGTTGAAATTAGCATGTGGTTTTTGACTCCTGCCTGGACCCTGACTGATACAGGTCTTGAGTGTGGACCAAATAAGGTGAATGAGAGGGGTTGATAAAGCCAAATTCTTTCATGTGGGATATGGGATTTTTTTCCATCTGCAGGAGGGAAGAGGCTGGAGGCTGTCAGCAACCCTCTCTGAATGTCTCTCTCTGCGGATGCCAGCAATGGCTCTTTCTCCCCGTTTCAGGTCTAGGGTGGTAACAGAGCCCAGAGGCAACAGTCTGGGAAACTGTGCTAGCTCTTTTGTTCTCAACTGCTCTTAAGACATTATGTCAATTATCCCATTACTGTCATGTGCCACATAGCAACAGTTCAGCCGACCACGGGCCGCATATACAATAGTGGCTCCATTAGATTCTAATACCGTGAATTAACTGTACCTTTTCTAGGCTTAGATGTGTTTAGAAACACACATACATGCCACAGTGCTACGGTTGCTACAGTATTCCGCATGGTGACATGCCATTCAGGTTTGCAGCTTAGGAGCAAGCTTGTGTGTGAATACACATTCACATCCGGGCGTGTGTGAATACACTCTACGATGTTCACACAACAGCAAAATCATCTAAAAACAGAATGTGTCCCTGTGGTTACTCGACACATGACTACACTCACCTCTCCTCCAGGTACTGAGACCAGGGGAGCCCTGATGTGTGCTGGGGCCCTGACTGCCAGGGTGGAAGCTCCATTGGTCTCGGCGCATCTCCCCTCCCAGGTCATGGCGACGCCCAAATACCTTTGGCTGCAGCACTCTGGAAGTCCTGCCGCCACCCAAGCTGGAATGGACGTGTGGACCAGGCCCCTGAAGGTTGGGCCTTGGGTGGCGATTTTCTCACCAGAGTCCTCTCCTGCCCCATGCCAGACCTCTGGGAGTCCAGCCCTGCCCTCCCAAAGAGAAATCCCAGCACTGGAGAAAGGACAGGTCTTTATTATTATCAGGTACATGTGGCCGCTCCTTGAATGTCCCCTCTCTGTAGGGCAAGTTCAGCTGCTCCCAGGCCCTCCCTCTGTTATCATCAGGTGATAACCTGTGTTTGGGTGCGGGGGGGATGGTAATCCATAGAAAGGATGGAAAAACAATTTGTTGTCCAAGGCCACTAGATTGTGGGGTCAGAGGGAGGGTGGGGTTTGGGTGGTCAGCAGGGGTTAAGACTCATGAGGGAAATGGAGTTAGTGGGAAACACAAAGACCCCCATACCAGAGGGCTAGGGCTGGCCCCAGCCCCAACACCTGAGCAAGGGAGGCGGTGAGGGCAGCACCACTCTGGAGAAGAGGATTTCTATTATAATTATCATTATCTTTTTTGTTCTCATGCACGGAGAAGACCCCAATATTCCTGGTGTGGCTCAGCAAGGAGGTAGAAGATTGTGCCACGCAGCCCTGGATGCCCACTGTGGTGGTCACTCCACCTAGAGGGAGAAGATCAAGTCAGAGAGGAGACCAACTACAGCACATCAGCCTAAGAACCAGCCCCTCCCCTCCCAGACCCAGGGGTCCAGCCCCAGCCCCTCCCCCCTCAGACCCAGGGGTCCAGCCCCAGCCCCTCCCCCCTCAGACCCAGGGGTCCAGCCCCAGCCCCTCCCCCCTCAGACCCAGGGGTCTAGCCCCAGCCCCTCCTCCCTCAGACCCAGGGGTCCAGCCCCAGCCCCTCCACTCCCCCCTCAGACAGGGGCCAGCCCCAGCCCTCCTCCCTCAGACCCAGGGGTCCGCCAGCCCTCCTCTCAGACCAGGGTCCGGCCCCAGCCCCTCCTCCCTCAGACCCAGGGGTCCAGCCCCAGCCTCCTCCCTCAGACCAGGTCCAGCCCAGCCCCTCTCCCTCCAGACCCAGGGGTCCAGCCCAGCCCCCCCCCACAGACCCAGGGGGCCAGCCCAGCCCCTCCCTCAGACCAGGGGCCAGCCCAGCCCCTCCTCCTAGACTCAGGGGTCAGGCCCAGCCTCCTCCCTCAGACCCAGGGTCAGCCCACCCCTCCTCACCTAGACTCAGGGGTCCAGGCCCACCCTCCTCCCCTAGACTCAGGGTCGGGTCCCCAGGCCCTTTATCCTTGGGATCCAGCTTTCAGCACTCACCTCCCTTGACGGAAATGCGGCCATCATAACAGTGGGCAGTGCTGTTAGGACACGTAATGCGGGGCGAGTTCTGAGAGCAGGATCCGAAGATGTTCACACAGCTCGGCACTGCAGGCCTCCGGGGCAGGGCAGCTGGGAGGGGAGAGAGGTTGGGGTGCACAGCTCTGTTCTCAGCTGTAGCCACCTGCCTTGGGCTCCAAGTGTCTGTGTCTCTGTGGCCCGGTCTCCCCAAGTCCCTGGATCCCATACCTGGACGAGGGAGGGACTTCAGCAGGACGCTGCTGCTGTTGGCTCCGTTGCAAAAGTTGGAGGAGCAGAACCGCGTATAGGAGGCCATGAGCACCCCGGTGGGCCCGCATGTATGGAGGTGCCTGGGAGTCCTGAGCCCAGCCCTGCTGCAGCCCTTGCTCCACAGCAGGGCTGAATTGTCTCCTGAGGGGTGAGAGGGGACAGCTGGGCTGGGGAGGGGCTCTGAGGGCAGCAGGACTCAAAGCAGGACTCCCTGCATTCCACGGTGCTCCCCAGGCAGAGGGCAGAGGCAGGTTGTGCTTAGTTCTCATTAGGGAAACCAAGGCACAGAGAAGGAGAGTTGGGTTGAGAACTCCAGGCGTGAGGGAACTGAACAGGAATTCAGGGACAGGACCCGGGTGCTACAGGGACACAGGTAGGTGTGCGGCCCTCTCGCCAGCCACGCACCTGCGTCTATAGCAGCAGCGTCTCCTGACACTCCTGCCCAGCGTCGCAGAGCGGACCAATTCTGGGTCCAGTACACAGGTTCATGAGTTAAGCTGCTGCTAGTCACAATATTGGTCCGTAGTCACATATGGAAAAATCTGGGGAGAGGAAATCATCAGGGTCTGTGTCAGCAGGAACCCGCCACATCTGTCCTCCAGGTCCCATGCTGGGGAAGGAGTCACATTCTGAATCGCATTCCAGGTGGCCTGCACTGCTCACCCGTTTCTGCTTGAACACCACAGGGCCCTCCTCCTGGGGCCTTTTTGGAAGGCTGCCCCTCCTACGGCGGGGGAGAGCCATGGACAGCCGGTCTTCCCTTCCCTGTCTGGGCTACAAGGCCTCATCGGGATAATACGAAGGCAGCCTGAGACCGTGTTCTTTGCATTGAGAAACCAATGTTCCAAACAGAAAGACTCGGTGCCTGGCGTGTACTGAGCTGTTGTACCCCTTTAACCCTTCCAAGGAGCTCGCCTTGTCTGCATGGCCTCACAGCGACCCACGAAGTAGGTGTTTCGTCATCATCATCATCATCATCCTCACTGTGAAGCAACTGCCCGATATCACACAACTAGTGATGGCAGAACCAGCCTCAGAACGAGGCGTTCTGGCTCCTTAGGGCTGGGTTTGGGCTTGGCGGTGGGAAGATGGTGTTGAAGACCATCTGCAGCCACCCTGGCCCTGGTGCGCCTCAGGAGTCTAGTGCGAAAGCCACGAGCCTCGGTCTTCTCTCAAGGCCATCACGGACCGGCGGTGACGTGTCCCACTGTGCAGAAACTCCTCGGCTGGGACTCCACGTCACCAACACCTGTAACCTTCAGAGCAGCCCCTAACCACCCCAAGCAGAACCAGTGTCTGTGGCGTTCTCCCTCCTAGCCCTGGAGGCTCTCTAGGTGGGACAGAGTCTGACTCATCTGGGGTCCCTGGGACCCTGGACCTGGATCCTGCCTGGCCTCACTTCAGCTACGCGTCGGGCAACCGTCCGGAGCCAGTGCTTCTGCTGCCAAAGCTGGAAACCTTGGTGTCAGTGACACGCAGCCCTGCCCTCAGGTCCTGGTCTAGCCAGGGAGAACAGCTCCCAACACAAAGAGGGCGTTTGCTGAGTTCACTCAACTCTCTCTCGAAGCTCTAAGGGTTAGGCAACGTGGGCAGAGGAGGAAACTGAGGCACAAGCAGGGAAGACCTTGCCCAGGACAGCTGGGACTCCTATCTGAGCTTCCTTCCCCTGCCCCCCACGGCTTCCCTTGCCTCAAGGCCTTCTTACTGAGACCCTACGGCACTCTCCATCGTCCCGTGACTGGGCCAGTGGGACCCTGTTGAACGATTGCCGTCCCCTGTCTCCCCTGAAGCACACTTGATTTTCCCTCTGGTTTTCTTTCCTGTGTAGACACGGCTGCTGGGGCTCCAGGACCAAGGTGGGGGTGGATGAGGGCAGCAGAGAGGGTGGCGTGGTCAGGGGAAGTGGGAGCCCAGGGTTGCCCAAGTCAGGAGTGTAGAGAAACAGAACTGGAAGTCCCGGCCTCATGAGAACCAGCAGGTCAACCACCCGCACCCTGACCTTCCCCCCTGCCCTCCCCAGCAGGCTGCCCTAATCAGCCTGGTATCATTCAAAATCAAGGCAGTGGGCTCCTGTCCCTGGGCCACACACCATTCTCTCTTCAGCTGGACCCCTCTTGCTGGCACCCCATCCAGAGAGTCCCTGCACTTCACACACACCCGAGTGAGCAGTAAACCCCCAAATTGCCTGTGGCTGCTGGCTTAGTGTGATGCCGTTGCACGCCCACCGTTAGCCAGGGCTTCCGCCCAGGCCGCGGTGCGGGACACAGCCTCCCTGTTAGGCGTGGGACTCACCTTTGACATTGCAGCTCTCCCTCAATCTATGGCCCGATGTCCCGGGTCCCGTTGAGCAGGTTGCAGCCTGGTTGGGACATGCATCCCTGCACTTGCAGTCTGGTGAAGATTTTCCCTGAGGAAGGCGGGGGAAGAGGCAGCGAGGCTGCTGCAGGGACCAGCCGACCTCAGAGGGCCGCTGCCCCAGGAAGCCAGTCCACCTCCCTCCGGGCCCTTCCATGCCTCAGCTCCCAGGAGACTCAGATCTCAGTCCCCAGGCCTCCCATTCAGCCCCCATGGGCCCCAAGGTCCGGCTCACCTCCACGAGCCGGAGGATCCACTGTAGCAGTGTGTGCTCCCTCGGGACAGGCCTCTGTCACATCCCCGCACAGCTGTCTGTAGAAAGGCAGGCTGGGCAACCGCAAGGCCTGGCGCTGGGGAGGTGACAGACCAGAGTGAAGGGACAAGGGAGGGCTCTGGATTTGGACCAGATGCCTTCTCTCGCCCGAATTTGCTGGCCCAATCTCCGTGTCCTTCCTCGGGCCTTCTGCCACAGCCAGGTGGGCGAATTAGGGTGTGAGGCCGGTGAAAGAGAAGTGAGGGGGATATGAGGTCGTGGGGGAGCCGGCGCCAGTGGCTCACGCCTGTAATCACGCATCATGAGAGGATCACTTGAGCCCAGGAGTTTGAGACCAGCCTGGGTACATAGCCAGACCCCATCCCTAAAATATTTTTTTTAAAAATGAGGTGGCATGGTGGCACACACCTGTAGCTACCAGCTACTTAGGAGGCTGAGACAGAAGGATCCTTGAGCCCAGGAGTTGGAGGCTTGCAGTGAGCTATGATGGCACCACTGCACGCCAGCCGGGTGAGGGAGCCAGAACGCTCTAACAACAACAAAAATCTGGGCAGAGGCTCCTGGGCTGAGTGGGGGGGGTGCTGGGGTGCAGGGGGGGGCTGCTGAGGCGCACCACAGACCAGCCCTGGTCAAGTCTGACCGGGAAGTCTGGCTTCCGAGGCTGACATGGACACAGACTCCTCGGTCAGGCAGGAGGGGTCTCGGAAGAGCACCTGGCTTCACCTGCAAGTGCACTAAACAGTAAGGAACACAAGACACCGCGTTTCAAAACTATTCCAGAGCCAGGCGCAGTGGCTCACGGCCCTGTAATCCTAGCACCCTGGGAGGCCGAGGTGGGGTGTTGATCAAGTCGATTTGAAACCAGTGAGCAAGAGCGAGACCCGTCTCTACTATAAATAGGAAAGAAATTAATTGGCCAACTAATATATATATATACATATATTATATTTAGATACAACAACACACACACACACATATCACTATATAGAAAATATACTGCGGCATGGTGGCACATGCCTGTAGTCCCAGCTACTCGGGAGCTGAGGCAGAGGATTGCTGAGCCAGGAGTTTGAGGTTGCTGTGAGCTAGGTGCTGCCATGGCACTCACTCTAGCCCTGGACACAACAAAGTGAGACCTGTCTCAAAAAAAAAAAATTCCAGAGAAAGAAGCGCACACACCTTCGCCAAAATCTATTTACAGCAGCCGACATGGACAGTGGGAAGGTAGGGCATGTTACTCAGGAACAGGAAATGCAAACGCCCCTACGGGAGACACTTGGCAGCTACCGACAGTACAGAAGAAAGGACAACGCACGCGATGAGCAGGCGAGCACGGTGGCCAGAGTGTGCGGCTGGTGGTTTCACGTGAGACATCAACTCGGCTGCTGCCCCGGGACCGTGCAGCGCTGGCAGGGAGCCCTGGGCGGGCAGGGCACAGGGCGGTGGCAGGGATGGAGAATGAGTGCAGAAGAGATGGGGAAGCAGGGGCCAGGGTTCAGGGCGCCGGCAGGGAGGCGCTGCAGCGAGTGGCACGCCCTCTGCGGCCTCCCTGCCCTGCTCCTCTGGGCCCTCCTCCTGTGGCACTGTCTGAGGGGCGGGCCAGACCGGAGCGCTGTTGCAGAGGTCGTTGCAGAGGTCCGCCTCCGCGGCACACGTGGGTGTAGGAGACACCGGAAGAGGCCGGGGCTGTCTGTGCAGGGTTGACG